GCTGAAGAATGACGTGACAGTCGCCGCCATAGTCTCAAGTTTGTCGTCAAAGATGACAACCTGGCACTGATGGTCCAAGCGACAGACAAGTCAAAAATCAAGACATTCGAGGAGTCCCAGGTCGAAAGACTACAACAACTGTTGAAGAATGAGACCGTTGCCGCCCAACTCCACCGATTCCTCACAGAGAAGAAAGTCAAGAGCGAAGTGGTTGAGGTTATCCTGCAACATCCGGCCAGCACCAAGTTCGTTAGGTCTGGAGGAAAAGTGAGTCTCGCCAGCCCCCGGTTTGCGCATCGCGCTCGGCTGANCCCCCACGTTTTATTGAATAGACAATATAATTTGTAGATCGTGGGCATGAGACTTATCGGCCTCCAGTTTTCTGGCTTCGACTCATCTCCTCCTTTGTAGAGTAGAATTGTTTCAGCTTCTTTCCAGTGCGAAGGTATCCGTTGATGGCCGACGCATTCATTATACAGGCGGGTGAGTGATTCCCCTTCTGGGTCAAACCAACTGAGGTGGTAACATCGCAAGCCGTCAACTCCAGGAGCTGTATCGCTTTGCATCCATCTGCATAACATCGGAACAGATAGTTCGATGGGTGAACCATTTTACAGATTACCGTTTCCCGATCATCAGTGGGCTTCATCACAAGCTTTTTGAGGACAATGACCTTCTCAGAATTCTCTGATTCACCTCCTCCTACTAGTCTGGGTTTGTGAAGGAAGGCAAGGGGGGGGGCGAGCCTTGGATCTCGAAGTGGGGAATCAGGTTTCCACCAACTTGTGTTCTTTCTACTCGGAGTTTGCCAGCTTTGTCGATTCTCGAATGGCGCTGATTCAATCTTTGAAGCCTCCTTACGTAAAGGAACCGAGGGCCTTGGTTCCTGTGGAACCCTCATCCCGGATCGTTGTTTTCTGGAGAGTGTAACTGCCGGAGCAATTATTCTGAGATTCCCAGACTCCTCTCGTATCCGTTTCCCTCGCTGACCAGGGTTTGGAAATTCTAGATTTCCAGTGATCTGGAAGCCTTCGGAATTCCAGGCTCGCTGAAATGAACACGTTTTGCCCTTCCTGTAGCCAAGGATTTTGCACCAGGTTTGCTATAACTATAAGCTTTGTGTTCGACCATCTTTATCGGCATCCTTGCCCACTATGGGGTTTTGGGATCTTTGGACTTCTTGTGATTCATCTGGGTTTCTTGGTCTTTCCATGTGACACGACGGGACGGTTTTGACTCCCTGTGTTTCCTATCGGACTCTATTTTATTTCCAGCACTCACAATTTCCTTCCATTGACTACTAGTCTTCTCCTTCAGCTGATGCACTTTCTTCGGGTTTTTCTAGACCTTCACATGTTCCGCGTAGCTCGTCTGAGCTCTACAGTAATCCGTTCCATCTTCTTGCTGCTTTTCAGATCCTCTTGGGGATAGAGAGGCTGGATGCAGATCGATGTTCCGCGGAAAATGGGCGGGGATTGCATCTTGTTGTTTCGGGATCCACTTTTGAGTACCCAATCCCCAATTTTCATCTCTTGTGAACAATGGGATCCATGGGACTCCTCCTACACACCTACTATATACATGTTTTGAGTCCACACACGGGACGATAGTATTATCACAGGGAATTATGTGGGTGAATTCTTTTTGTCCATTTTGACAGCATTTTACAGTGAATTTGACAATGTGGACATCCACCTCTTTTCTGATATTTCCATTCACATGGGCAATACTGATCTGAGGCTCTTGGCCGCACGAACAGTACATATCTTTTTGTGATATGTTTTCTGAGGTGAAAAATAAGTTGTTATTTTTCTACACTCCAATTTCTTTTCTCCAACTTCAAAAATTCCACGGTTTCTTCTTCTCTTCAAGAAAGAAAGATCCTATCGATCCGTTTGAAAACCGTTCGGATACCGTGAGCCTCCTTGATGTGTTTGGTCAAGTACTTCAAGTCTTCCGCTCCGTATCCTCCTCTTGAAGAAGCTTTGCAACCATCTGCGAAGCAACGAAACAAATCGTTCGATGGATACCATCTTACAGATTACAGTTTCTGGATCATCCGTTGTTTTCATCACGAATCCGTGATCGTTGTTTCCTGAAGAGCGGGATTGCTGAAGCAACAATCTTGGAGTTCTCATAATCATCTTCTTTCCGTTTCCCTTACTGGCTGGGTTTTTGGATATTCTCGTTTTTCAGCGACCTGGAAGCTTCTGCAATTCCAGGATCGCTGATATGGGCTCGTTTTGTCTCATTCACCCTTCCTTGGGTTGAGGATGTGAGAATTAGAGTGATTTTTAAAGGTTTCAAATCATCTTTTTCCTTATCCTCCTCTTGTAGAAATCTTCAGTTAGATTAAAACAAAAAAGAAACATAATGATAATAATAATAATAAATAAATAAATCTTATTATCCTTGTCAGAGAAAAAAAAGGTTGAGTCGAAGTGTATGCGATGTTTGTAAACAAATATCTGAAAGCGTAAACAAAAAAAAACGTAAACAAACACAGTTGAAACGAGTGCGACAGTAACCCGGCGGGAAAATGTTAATTTACCTATTTTTTAGTTTTTCTCATATTTTGCAGCAA